AATAATACCTACGTATCATAAAAGCGATGATACAAACAAGGATAGCCATAATATTACGATATCTTGATTAAATAAAAAGATTAATCATCAGAATAAGATTCATTTTAAATCTAGTTTTACTTTCTATATCCAAGTATAAAGCTGCTTTTGCTCTGCTTTTCCGAAAGTAAAATTCACATAGTAGAACCCGTTTGTAGGTCTTGCATCCGCTAGTTAACGAGCTTGTAATTTGAGTATATTAAATAGGAAAAGGTCATGAAAACAGAGCATTTATTTGATGGTCAAATATTATTATAAAGCATGCTACGCGTAAATAAACAAATATTATTATAAATTTGTAATTTCTAAATTTAAAAATTACTGAAAGACGTAATCCCAGCAAAAACATTTCATGTAAAATGTTGCCAAGACGAGATCATATGGCTTGCACTGTCAAAAAGTTATCAGATCTCATGTAGAGCCATGCTACTAACTCTACAAGCCCTAACTTCACAAACTCTACACCTTAGTCAAAATATGTGGCTTGGCCGTTGCACTACCGTCACAGGCCCCCAGATAAAACAAATATCTAATGTACGATGATGATATTATTTGGAGAGTCACAAAGTCTCTATGCTTTATTTAAGCTTCAATAGTTGAAATTATTGCGACAAACTTAGGTATGCCTATATAACCTGTATAACCTGCAGTCCTTTATTTTTTAACGTTGAGAAATGCATTTACACATACAAACGACATATGTACATACAGTTGACTATGTGGGATTCACTGGCCAGAAAAGCTACTACTACCAACTAAAACCCAATTAAACCTTCCCCGTCTTAGTCCCAAGGTTCGCGGAAAAGGCAAAGAAACTTAAAATATCAACGACAATCCCTTGTTTTCCCCGATCAAGGACTCGAATTCAGGACTTCATGGTCTATAAGCTACAATAAAGCCACTACACAAACGAGGCATCAATAAATGTTACAAATCTTAAAAAGAACAATGTTATAGCTTATTAATAAAGCAAACACCACTTAAACGGGTCTCATGTGGTTCAAGTTGTAACTAATATAAATCTTAAATGTGAAAACAGAAGCGACAACGCAACAGTAAGAAGTGAAATATGTATAAAATACAAATGACAAAATGCGAGACATAATTCATGCAGCTCGTGTGCGAAATTGTATTATTAAAGTCATTAGAAATATCTTTTCAAATGGATTATTTAAATTAATAAATAATTAGATGGTTTCTGAGACGCCTACTTTAATACCCTACCATTTTGAACTAAATGAGTGTTTGTGTTAAAAATACACTGTTTTGATTTATTTATACAAAAAATACTTTTAAAATTCTAATAAAATCATACTCATTACACAGGAATAGATTAAGTTCTCAACTTTATATCGAACCTAACCACAAAATCTGATAATTTTAAAGTGGTAGACATTCAAAATATAGTACGAAGTAGTTAGCTTAAGCACTTAATTTAAAAATATATGTTTTTACATCAAATACAGGAATATATATTTGTGTTAAACCAAGCTTGCAAAAACCACTTAAAATGAGTATAAAAAGTATCAGCTCAATTGTATACCAGTTATTGGTTGAAAAATGGTTTGCAAATTTTGAAATGGACAACTTATTTACATACGAACAAGGCAAGTTAAAAAGAGCTAATAATAAATTACCCTCTCCGAAAACACCTCTTCCTTTTGGATTTATTGGGATATTCGCCATAATAACATATATTCTGCAGAAATTTCAATGAAAAGGTTTATCAAGAAGAAATTCTTTGAATACTAAGCATTTAAATATTTAATCTGTAAGGCATATTACTCTGTTCGAGAATTTCTAGTTGATGGAAATGTGAAATTGAGACATACTGACTCATATGCGGGTTATCTATAATGTGATGTTAATAAAATTAATAAAAAGCAACTGTGAAGTTTCCCGCCGGCTCTTCTCAGGAGAACTGCTTACCAAACCGTTGGTAGCTTCCTCACGGACTGACAACACTGACGATATTTAAATTAAATTAACAATTCAGAAGTGCTTGTAAAAGTCTAATTGAATAAACTCTAATTTCATTTCATTACATTTCAAATGATTTATAAGTAGTTAATAAGTTTAATAAATTCAAAATATTATTTTAAACTCATACAAAGCTATTTTTTAGTATTAATTAATACAACTAAAGCCATATCATAACATATTTCATTACAAAGTGCAACTTCGTATGTAACATAACTAAGTTATAACAGTTACAGTTCGAACACAACTGTATTAACAAACGAGCCACGTGGCAAGATATAATTGCCACAGATGAACGCGCCTTGAGATAACTAGTTTTAGCAATACCATCTACAGTTGCTATGATATCGTGCAGACTAAATTAGCCTTACGCGTGACCAGATACAAAAATAGATGTTATAAAAACAAGGAAATGAATTATATAAAGCGACTAATTTACATGATTATACATTTTGAGGTCATTAAAATCTTAAAAAAAATATGTAGATATTTAAAAAAAAATAAAAAAATGACAGTTTTCTAAGACCTCTCTCAGAGGGTAAAAGCTAGTTTACGAAAAAAGAAAGTTGGTAACACTGTTTTAACATAGACAGTAAAGGATATTTAAAGTTACCTTTAAAAAAAAATAAAGTTGTCGAATTCAATTAAGTAAAACTAATTTTAGAATCTACTTGTATAAAATGTGATAGGTATATGAGCAGGCATATATTTGCATGGCATGATCACATGATGATTAATTGCGATACCTCTAAATAGATAAACAGGCTTCACAGAAGCTCTCCGCGGCACTGTTTGATATGAGGTTAATAATAAGGACAAACGAATTCTAAAGTATTTACTGATTTAATATTTAAATTATCTGTATAAATAAAAATGAAGCTTTTCTTGTATGTTTGTTCACTATGCCTTCTAACCCATTCAGTCGATTGCGATGAAACCCTGGAGAGTTATTTTGCGTCCCTAAAACAACCTAGCCAAAAAAAAGTGTTTTTTCTTTATATTTAGTTTTTCTTAGTATTGTAGTAATAAGCAAAGTTCACTTTGACTGTAGGATGCCATGAGAAATTTTCTCTTACGCTACTTTTTTTATATATACGATATTTGTCTTCTACGCAATTCCTAACCAATACATCCCTAGATACGCACTCGGGCGAAGCAAGGGTAAATCACTAGCCATAAATAAATAAGACATCCTGAACTTAAATAACCTGGTTGGTACAAATGACAAATATTTTTTAAATGTTATTTTCATAAAATCTTAAACAAATACGCACATACAACAACACCACAAATTCACACACAAACACACTAAGTACCACTTACAAATAACTTTTTTTATTAATTTAATATAAATAAATTTTACACTAGGATATACCTCCATATTTTTATTGCACATATCTACAATCTACATATTATTGATTTATTACTGTATTGATTGATCAAATAGATACGTAGAACACGGACCCATAACTCTTGCCAATTCTTGTATTTTACGTCTAAAATATGTCATTTACAAATATAGAGTTAGCCTACTCGTCTAAGCATGGGGTGTTGTAGTGTGCACAAGCGATCCTGCAACGCCCCATTGCACGGCGGCGAAGGGTTCCGTTGTGGGTTTTAGTGAGTGGGAGTCTCACAGTACCTTGCCCGTTGACGGCGGGCAGGGTCCCCATGATGGGTTTCCCCAGCGATATAAAAAAAAACTCGTCTAAGCATAATTAAAATTCATGTATTACTTATATGACGTATTTCTCAAGATTTCTGCTGTAATACCATTGTTTTTACAACCTTACAACAAATTACGAATCACTTTAAAAAAATGTCATCTAACCAATTTAGGGTGTCAAGATAAGATCGAGGCGATCGTAACAAGATATACAGACCATCTCAATCAGAGCGGCAGAAGCAATTTGCTACAATTGAAAACAAATAAATGAACGACGCCGCCTCAATTCAACATCTCAAGCCCAACCTCGACATTTTATCGCTTATTTTTATTTTCTATCGTCATAATGGTCTTTGTTATTACGCGGTGCGACTCGCGATAGAAAGTTATGTCAACTTATACTTCGATTCTTGGATGCCATGAGAAAATCTGTTTTATTGTATCTTATAGGGAAATTAATGAGATACTATTAACTATTATGTAAAAGTAATCTCGTCTTAGTGTAGATAGCGGATTTTGAAGTGAAACTTCTTTAGAATCGTTGTGATTTGAAACTCGATGCAACGGAAATGCGACAGTAAAAAGAGACAAACATATAAATATATAGGATTAAGCCGGCGATAGAATGAGATAGAATACATTGCGATGATGCCATGGTAACCGTTGTTATTTGATAGAATACATTACACAGGAAGTGAAAAATAATAAAATTCATTACTGATTATTATGTAATGTTTATATTTATGTCAAATAAAATGTAAAATAACTTTTGAACTTGGTAAAAATAATATAAAAAAATCCTTATGATTATCCTACTCCTGATACTCTATATTCATATCATTTTCTGAAGTTTCACTTCTACGATGTGTGAATTGTACATTAATTTTTTTTTTAGTTTAATGAAACTAAATATCCATACTAATATTATAAATGTGAAAGTGTGTTTGTTTGTTTGTCTTTCTTTCACGTCGAAACAGAGTAACGGATTTTGTCTGGAGATAGTTGAAGGGCAGGAGAGTGACATAATCTACTTTACTACGGGAGATTATCTTTTTCCACACAAACACGTTATAATACAACCCAAAAAAATATTTATGATCAGAATTACTTGGAACTTGGTATTAATGCTCTTTAAAGCAGTTAAATAAATATGTGTTTTATCATTTTTCGGAATTCATCCCATAAGGGGGTAAAATAGCGGATGAAAGTTTGTATGAAACCTACCTGCAATTTTTTTATAGTTTTAGCGCGAAAGAAGCCGCGGGTTCTGCTAGTTAATAATAAATCTAAAATAATTATATGTTAATTATACTTAATGTCGTGTAAATGTGAAGTCAATTGCGAACTCACCATTGCGAGATAAAACTCTCCTCAGCATGTGTCCAAACCGCCTCGCGCCCATACACTTCCTTTGCTCGCGAGCGGCATCATCCATACAATCACTATCTGTCGCCGTATCACCTTCACTGTCGTTCTCAGACACGAGAGATTCACGCTTATTAATAGTTTTTGTATTACGTTCATTAAAACTTAAAATAGGTTCGCTTGCACCTAAACTCTTTGGTTCAACAGTCCATCCATCAAGCTTCTGTACATCATTAAATATATCATCTAAATTTGTTTCTAATAAACCTTTGGCACTACATATCACTTTACTTTTGGCATCACCGTGTGTAACTATGGCATCCACACTGTTCGAGAGTCTTTTCTCACTAACTATTATTTTTGCATCGTCTTCATTATCTAGAATTTCTTTAATATTGTCGTGGGTTTTTGTCCGTTGTTTCAATGTTAGCGAACCTTGCGACACTAAACTCGAGGGTCTTTCTCTAACGCTTTTCTCTGATAGTTCACTCGTTATTTGTTGTTGCGGATGATTTCCGCGAAATATATTCGAGAGCACGATCATTTTCACTATCTTAAACGTACCAAGATGAGTTATAAATTCCATCACTGCATTCCTTATATCACTATTGATGCTTTGCACTAAATAGAGGCGAGGTGATTTTGTGTTAAACTGTCGCGTGTTACTAAATTTTACATAGCGCGCAAAAAAAATTACATATGTACAAAGAATATGAAGCTAGCAATATTTTATTTTAACAAGTACTTAAATAGAATATTTGTTATCTAATATGAAAAACGTTCAATAAACACCTTATATTTGTAGGAACATCTTACATTCAAAGTGAGTCAGCTTATCTAAGTAGGGATTGTTTTAGGCGAGGTGAGGTGAGGTGGGTGGTAAATCCCATCTGTCACCAGGAATAAAGCGGAATTGTGTCGGTGGCGCCTGATAAAATTACCAGACACGTAAACGTTATCAGAGATACTAAAGCTCTGTTCTGCGAGCTCCATTCTAAAACGGCAACCGACATTATTCACTAATATTACAATGTCGCTGTATAGTTAGCATCTTATATCGTGAGTAGCTTAATTTCATACGCTCTAAACATACTTGAAATAAAAAATAAACTATCTTTTCGTATTATTTCGCGGATTTATTTGAAAAAAAAAAGGTCGCCGAAATAATCCGAAAAGATAGTTTTATTTAAAATTTAAAATATTCGCGTAAATCTAAGAAAGTATTAAATAAAATCAACACAAAGTGACCATTATTAATAATTTAAATTCGTTATAATCACAACCGCGACGTTTTTTCAAATAGCTCGTCAAAGAATGTGTATAACCTGAACAAAATTGTCGTATATCAAATGGTAAAAAATGAAACATGTGGACAACGTTCGTAATTAAAAAGCACTTTGGCTGAAACCGGGTGAACTCAGTTTAAGTACTAGACACAGTGAACTGGTCTATTCTATAGTAACTGGAAACCGGTAAAAATTTATTTCGACTTCTTTCACATACGCTGCAGCATTGAAAGCGTTCAAAGAGCCCGCTACATTTTACAATACCTTTGTGCCTAATAGCTTGAAAACTTAAATAGTTTTCTATACTCCCAATAATTCCGAATAAAGCAAGAATCGAGTATAGAAATGGACTATATCAAAATAGTCATATAATTCATCGATATTATTCTCCGCTATTTGAACGTAATCTGAGATAACGATTTTGGCTCGCTCGTGCAGCATTTGAGATAGAATATTACACTTCATATTTTCGAATGGAATATGAATTGCAAAATATATAAAATGAATAGTGAAAATAACATTTAAAATACCAATAATAATAAAGAACATAAAATCAAACACATAAACATTACTTGCCGACATCTTTTTAATTTTAGCGCATCCGATGAAGCATTTCATATATTTTTAACTAGCGACTCACCCTCGCTTCGCTTGGGTTCGTCCCTAGCTTGATACCCCATACAAACTGTCATCACCAATTTAACCCCTTTAAGGGCTAACTTCCGGGATAAAAAGTATCCTATGTCCTTCCCAGGGTCTCAAACTATCTTCTTACCTAATTTTATCTAAATCGGTTCAGCAGATCCAGAGATTACCCCCTACAACGTCATAAACTCACAATCTCACAAACTCACAAACTTTACCTCTTTATAATATTAGTATAGATAAATCTAATTTTATAGAACGTCATAGTAAAAAAAATAGTGATAACACATAAAAAACAAATATGTAGTACATATAAACGAGAAACAGCATTCCGTAATACACTTTAAAAAAAAACTAAAAAATCTAGAATAAAACAAATTAACATAAAAAAACCCACAACTTCATAATCTTTATGGCATTCTTTGCTAGAGAACATATGCAAAGAAAGTACATAATTATGTTTAGACATAACTAAAATGGCAATAATAACAAAAGCTGTTAAACAACTTTGCTTTTTAGAGCATATCTAGTTTAAGAAATTATATACATTTAATTTGAATAATATGTAAATATCAACCTTATTATTTCCCCTACATTATAACTTAAAGAACAAGATACAAATTCTTACAAGATTTTCTTATTCATTGACTCTATTTAACGCACATTGAGTCATATAATTTGTGTAAATTTCCTTTTAAATATTAATTAACTTTACACATTTTATTTACCCATAACCAATTTTATTGCTCGTCAAATTGAAATTACAAAATTCATCTGTAAATATAAACAGCATAAAATTCTATTGTTTCCAGTACACTAACTGTTGCTAATCGTTATGATAATCAAGAATATTAACCTTTTCGAAAAATCGCAAGGTCTCCTCAAGGTGATACCGTTACGTCACCTACGTTTCAGCAGATCGCACACGACTGTATGTACGTACATTGTAAATTAAATTATAATATGTGGTAATAAGTATAATTTTTTATTTATCGTGAAGGCGTGTCGAACGAATCGATTTTTCCATCTCTCTTAGAGAAGTAACACAAAACAAGTCGATGAACCGTTAACAAAAAATTGTTTAACTATAATAGTTTTAGTTTAGCTTTTTAATTTGAAAAAGACTGTTAACTTTAATCAAAAAAATTATAATAATTTCTTAATAAAAAAAAATATTAAAAAGAAACAACAGTAAAGAAGCGATCACCACAAAAGCATGACTAACATAATTTTACATTTCCTTTGGCTGTAACAATACACAAAACAAACGAAACAATTGTTATTATTGTGTATTCCCAATAAAAAACAGGGCACATTTTTTCTAACAAATACACTTTCACCGCACGTTTCTTCGTGTAAAGACGTCCTAAAAACAGCAGTGAAAACGTTTTATTTTAGCAATATCCTGATTTTAGTAGAATCCCCCTGGAGGCTCCAGTTTACGATTCCATCTCGTCCCTGACAGCCCGATACGGCAACGGCATGATTGAAACACATTCAACGTTATATAAAATGTTATTTATATGAAAATTTTGTCACGGGTACTACTTAAATACGAAGAATGTTTCTTCTTGACTGCCTCTTGTACGAGTACGCGTGGCAATTAACGTAATTTTACTATAATACGTTTTTCCAATTATTGTCTACTAGCGACTCACCCTCGCTTCGCTCGGGTTCGTCGCTAGGGACGTTCTAAATAGATATAAATATTTATTACCCAGCGTTAGCCATATAAATTTTTATTTAATATGGTTGTTAAGTATTGTTAAATTTGATCCTGACAATAACAAACACAACAAAAAAAAATAGTTAAAACGGTCCAGCCGTTCACGCGTGATGGCGTGACCAAGGGAAATAGGGATTCATTTTTGTATATGTATATACAATAGATTATTCAATTACTAAGTTAATGTTTCGAAGAAAAAGTTAAAGTTGTGAATAAGACTCTTTCATAACTAAACTAGACGGAAAAATTAGAAAACTTATCAAGTCTCTATTTAACTCTTATCAAGAGTCGATAAATTCTTGAAATAGAAAATCGAATTAATGAGTATGAAATTCCAGATTGGTTCAAGCTATAATATATGTACATACATATACTTTTGTGCTTTTGATCTTTTGCATACACGTGAGTGGCGAGTGATATCGTTGACTCTATCCTTTTTGTGTCTGGTTTATTATGTTGGAAATAACTAATGCTTCAGGTTAATTTATAAGGACTTTACATCAACGTGTGTATCTATCTATAAATATAATAAAATTGTCACTAAACCGAATCTGTGCATTAAATATTTTTTGGAAAATCTTATTGAAATAAACGTTATTATCGATACAGAGGCCGAATCTGTAGTTTTTAGTATTTTTGTCTGTCTGTCTGTCTGTCAGTCTGTCTGTCTTTTTGTTACCGCATCACAGAAAAACCACTGGAGGGATTTTGATGAAATTTGGTATGGTGATAGCTGGCTATCCGGGTCAACATATATGATACTTTTTATCGCGGAAAAATATTTCATTTTTGAGAAAAAATACAAAAATTGCAATGTAAGAGTATATTATTTTCTTTATTGCACTTAAAATGTGATACAGAAAAAATAACAACAATAAACATAGTTTACAAATGTGAACTTATCTCTAAATATGTAAAACCTAAGAATTTGGTTTTTGGTCATCTGAACGCGGGTGGAGCCGCGGGCAATGCTAGTATTTTATAAGATTTGTACTCGTAAAAACTACTTGTACTACGTTTATACGTAGTTATGAAACATAAATTTTATGTTGGTACTAAAGTAATAATTCGTAATAATATATGAATGTGATACTCAACAATATTTTTAGGAAAAAAATTGTATGCGGTTATAAGTAAAAAGTATGTTTTATTTCAACATAATATATGTTTATGACAAGTGATAATTTTACCTAGTTTCGCACTTATTAGGACCACAAGCGACCAGATACCTATCATTTATAGTAGCTACTAAAATCATACAATTGGTTTATTATGTACGTTATACGCCATCTTACTACTATTATAAACGTGAAAGTTTAGACGTTTGGATGTTTGTTACTCAATTACGCCAGAACGGCTCAACGTATCTGGATGTAATTTGGCACAGATACAATGTATAGTCTGGTATAGCACATAGGTTACTTTTTATCCCAGAGAAATGTACAGTTCCCGTGGGATAGATTGATTTCTGGCGAAGCGAAGGTGAATCGCTAGTTATTATAAATGCCAAAGTTTGTGTATTTGTGTTTATTTCTCCTTCATGCTCAAACGGCTGGATGGATTTCGATGAAATTTAATACACAGACAGACTATGACCAAAAGTAGCACATAGGCTAGCTAGTTACATTATATTTATTATTAACTGTGATGATGTTAGTGTGTAAACCGCCTATCCCAGCGACAGTTAGCTATTTTCACACCGGATGCGCCTAGCGATCCATGACCGTCGGACACGACATTCGCAAACATATATGAAATAAAAATAAAAATATTAGTCTGACTTATGTATGTATGTCCATTTGTTATACTTTTTTGGTGCAGACTAAAGCTTCTATTTCTGGATCAATTTACTATGAATTATTACATTGTGATTATTATTTTCAACCGAGTTCAAAAAGAAGGAGGTTCTCAATTCGACTGTTTTTTTTA